TTTCTAAAGGTCCAAAATACAATTTTCCGATCTGATTCTTGGGGTCTTTGATTCTTTTTAGGAATTATTGGTATTTAGTGCATTTTTAACTAAAATCCATCAAAACGCAGGTACGTGCTGCTTATTTTCGGAAACATGTTATATGAATATTTTTTTAATTATTTAGAATATGTTAAAAATTTAGTAAATTTTTAAAGTTATTCAGTTTCGTGCATTAAGCTAGTTTTTTAATCTTTTTTCGATAATCAATGCACACAATGACAAATCATAATTTGTCACGCAGGCTGTCAGGTCGTCTATACGCCAGTATATTCAGTCTATGGTACTATAGAGTCAGGCAGGGTAATTTTATACAGTATGAAAAAACAACTTTACGAACTCTTTTTAATTTACATAAAAACATAGCAAATATATTTGTGTCAGTGAAAATGTACCATATAGTAGTGGAATATATTGCAAATGATGCACATTAGTAATTATTACACTAGGCAGTAACTACATTTTTGAAATTGACTGATTACTGATTAATAGTTTACCTTTAAATATTTGTTTTAAACATTTTTTGTTCATACTGTATAGAAAGTTACATTCTATTGTTATATTACTTTTACACCTTCAACAAGTATTTGTTATTGTTACGAGCTTGGGGTTCGTTACAATAAAAACTGCCTATTGAATTACCAAAATTGGCACTTTAAATACCGAACACCAATTAAGACTTAAAACACACTAATAATAAAACACAATTGTACTACTGATCACTTTAGTTCGCAGTTATATCATTTCGAAGTATTCGCTTGCATTGCCAGTTCAATACTTACAACATTTTTGAAAATACAATTTAAAAAAAATACTGACTTGGTCGCGGTCAATACCGGCCTTGTAAAGCCTATTCTATTGAAACATCTAGAGTATTCGAGTACATACCGGTCCCGATTGAAAAGGTGTAGAAATTTCTAGTATGGAAATTTCTAGAAAGATCTTGACTATCCTAGTTCTGCTAATCGGTACTAGATGGCGCTAGTGGTAACTCAACGTGTACCAGGCAGTAATTATGGCGCGCAACACTGTCCCCTCTTAAGACATGCTCGTCCCGTGCATTATAGTAACAGTCGATCCACATGGACTATCCTAGGAGTACCTCTTGCACCTTGTCACAATCCGGTACGGTACGTCCGATTTAGCTTGAAGCTAAGGATAGTTAATCGTTGAGCTCAGCAACGCTGGTGTCGGCTGCTCAATAGATGGGCATTTCGTTAACAGCATAAGCTATGCAGACGACATGGTGTTGCTGAGCCCATCGGTTAACGCACTGAGAACATTACTTAATATTTTTGATACTTATGCTGAGACTCACGGTCTCATTTATAATGTAAAAAAAAAGTGAAGTGTTGTTATTTCGAGCTGGATCAAAAATTGAAATGATTCCACCTGTTAAATTAAGGAACGTACAGTTAAATAGAGTGTATCAATTTAAATATCTTGGTCACGTTTTAACTGAGGATCTGACTGATGATGCGGACATAGAAAGAGAAAGAAGGGCATTGGCGGTTTGCTGTAACATGCTGTTCCGTAGCTTTGCACGCTATACAGAAGAAGTTAAGGTAACACTTTTCAAAGCCTTTTGCCAGTCATTTTACACGTGCAGTCTATGGGTTAAGTACACGCAGAGAGCCTACAATGCCCTTCGGGTACAATATAATAATGCCTTCAGGATGCTGATGGGGTTTCCGCGGTATTGTAGCGCTTCAGGGATGTTTGCTTTGCTGCGGACTGCATTGTGCAACCACACTGGTGAACCTTCGTCAGACCCCTAGCTGTTCATTTTGCGGTCATACAGAATTTTCATCTTTTCAGATATTTGCTGGCCCAATTATCTGATATGCTCATAAATGTCATTAGTTTTATTCTGCAAGTTATTTGCATAATCGGTTATACTGCGTGGGGCCCATCTATTGAGCAGCCGACACCAGCGTTGCTGAGCTCAACGATTGACTATCCTTAGCTTCAAGCTAAATCGGACGTACCGTACCGGATTGTGACAAGGTGCAAGAGGTACTCCTAGGATAGTCCATGTGGATCGACTGTTACTATAATGCACGGGACGAGCATGTCTTAAGAGGGGACAGTGTTGCGCGCCATAATTACTGCCTGGTACACGTTGAGTTACCACTAGCGCCATCTAGTACCGATTAGCAGAACTAGGATAGTCAAGATCTTTCTGGAAATTTCCATGCTAGAAATTTCTACACCTTTTCAATCGGGACCGGTATGTACTCGAATACTCTAGATGTTTCAATAGAATAGGCTTTACAAGGCCGGTATTGACCGCGACCAAGTCAGTATTTTTTTTAAATTGTATTTTCAAACATGTTGTAAGTATTGAACTGGCAATTCAAGCGAATACTTCGAAATGATATAACTGCGAACTAAAGTGATCAGTAGTACAATTGTGTTTTATTATTAGTGTGTTTTAAGTCTTAATTGGTGTTCGGTATTTAAAGTGCCAATTTTGGTAATTCAATAGGCAGTTTTTATTGTAACGAACCCCAAGCTCGTAACAATAATAAATACTTGTTGAAGGTGTAAAAGTAATATAACAATAGAATGTAACTTTCTATACAGTATGAACAAAAAATGTTTAAAACAAATATTTAAAGGTAAACTATTAATCAGTAATCAGTCAATTTCAAAAATGTAGTTACTGCCTAGTGTAATAATTACTAATGTACATCATTTGCAATATATTCCACTACTATATGGTACATTTTCACTGACACAAATATATTTGCTATGTTTTTATGTAAATTAAAAAGAGTTCGTAAAGTTGTTTTTTCATACTGTATAAAATTACCCTGCCTGACTCTATAGTACCATAGACTTTGAATATACTGGCGTATAGACGACCTGACAGCCTGCGTGACAAATTATGATTTGTCATTGTGTGCATTGATTATCGAAAAAAGATTAAAAAACTAGCCTAGTGCACGAAACTGAATAACTCTAAAAATTTACTAAATTTTTAACATATTCTAAATAATTAAAAAAAATATTCATATAACATGTTTCCGAAAATAAGCAGCACGTACCTGCGTTTTGATGGATTTTAGTTAAAAATGCACAAAATACCAATAATTCCTAAAAAGAATCAAAGACCCCAAGAATCAGATCGGAAAATTGTATTTTGGACCTTTAGAAACAAATATTTACTGCCATGGACAGTTTTCTAGGAATTTCTTTTTCAACATAATTTTAATCAAATATAAATAGGTAGATACTTAATTGAGTAAGCACCTATTTTTATTTTAAATATTTTATAAAATGTTTTTCTGGTGAAATAAAAACGGTAACATGGAGTACAAAATGGCTGCTTTATTTTACATATTTTAATTTTATTTCGTATGTTCCAAAGATGTAAACTTTATCAGCCCTATTAATAAACACAGACTTGAGCAAGATTAATTTTACTCCTAGTTTAAAGCTTAAAATATCTAATTTCAGTATTAATAAACATAGAGTGAGCCGTGGTAGCTCAGATGGTTAACCTAATGGCATTAAGTCCGCCCTTTGTAATCCTTTTTATTAAGGTGCAATAAAGTGTAAATAAATAAATAAATAAACACTATTCGCCATTCCAAATCAAGAAGCTTCAACAGTTGTAGATATACTAGTTAATGAAGTCATTGATTTGGAGTACCTTTAGAGATTTACAGCGATTACGTTAGTACTCTTATTAGTTTGTGACAGCGATCAAGCATGGAATTTTAATAAATATACCAAAATACTGAACTATCAACCAAAATACTGAGTTTCTGCGCCCCGAAAGTTAGAACGAGACACAAAATTATTTCCTGCACGATCAAAAATTACGCACAAAACGCATTGGTCAGTCGATTGCATAGAACTTTTAACAACCAATTTAATGCTACTGATATTTTTTTCATAACAGTAGGAATCTGTTTAAGAGGGAAGTTCTTGAAGAACTTGAAGGAAATAGTTAATATGTATATTGCACACACACACACATACACACGCGCGCGCGCGCGCACGCGCACGCACGCGCACGCACGCACGCACGCACGCACACACACACACACACACACACACACACACACACACTCACTCACACACACAATCACACACACACACACACTCACACACACTCACACACACTCACACACACACACACACACACACACACACACACACACACACACACGCGCGCGCGCGCGCACGTACACGGATACACAGATCAGAGAGATATAGACGCACCGTTTTTAATTTTTAATTCTAAAATATTATGTTTTGTAGCCTAAACTTATTGATTGTCGGTCGATTAATATAAGTCAAAAAAATGTATAAAGTAGATCCGTTATTGGCTGTAAGTTTATTTCTTAAGTTTTATATATGTTGTAATTAGAGCTGTGGATCTTGTAATAAATAAATAAAATAATAAATAAAAAAAAAATATTGAGTCTCAAATATTCCAGAAAACTTGCCGATTATGGGTACTCATAAAGTTTACTTGAGCGCGCGTGTGTGTTCGGACGTAGAACAAAGCGATCGCTAATAATCGAGGGCGGGGCAATGGCCTCTAATACAGTGAAATGTAATAATTGCAATATTGTGATTTTGAGTTATTGGCCTTCATTCAAAACAAGGCTGATGTTATGGATGAAGAAATCATTATACGTCTGTGTGCTACTTCGTTTTCGAGTGAGGAAGTGGTACAAGCGAAAAATTTACTTTTCGAATCTATTACCACCACGAGCCGAAAGACTACGCGCAAGAAAGAAGGAAAGATGCAGCGTGATATCGAAGATATTATTAGTATAATTAAAAGGACAGACCCAGAAAAAATGCCCATATTCGTTGCAAAAGACCTACAAAAATTACCGCCGGTTACTTTTGATCACGTAGACGTGACAAGGCTGCTAAAGGATATCATTACTTTGAAAAATGACATGAAAATTATAAAAGAGAAGTACGTGACTTTAGAAATGTTGGAAGAAAGAGTTCCGTTTTTAGAAATAAATGAAAATATAAACAATAGAAGACGCGGGTATTTACTAAATAACAGTTTGAATGTAGATAGCGGCCCAATTGGTTTAACGCATATACACAGCGGGTCAACAACCGCTATAAGCGAGGTCAATGAACTGGCTCGCGCTGATAAGGACGTACCTGTCGCATTCTCACGCGATATTCCTGTCTCGGTCGCACCACTAACTGTACATCGCTGCGAGGCAAGTTCTCCAGTGAACAGTGGGTCTCAAGTGGAGGCCCTCACCGTGGTTTCGACGAATGTAGCCAATTGTGCTAACAGCGCTGCGCCTGCGCCTACGCACTCCGAGCCTACGCCGATTAATGAAAACAGTGCGAATAAAAAACATGAAACAACAATGAACTCGGGACGTAAAAGGTTTTCCGATGTGGTGCGCAAGGGTGGTCAATGGAAACCAGAAGCACCAAAGGATGAATGGATTCTTTTGCAAAGTAGACGGCTGCGAAATCGTTTTATGGCGAAAAAAGGAAAAGCAGATCTAGAGTTGGATTGTGGTTTCAAGGCGGCGGATGTTAAAATTCCGTTTTACATTTATAATGTTGACAAAAATGCTTCTGTCGAAGACATAAGTAAATATATTATCCTGTTAGCTCGCGAGGCCACGTAATATGACACTCCCGTTCGCTCGCGACCGTAATGGCGGGAAAATTTGCAAATTAGCAAATTTTTTGCTATATTGCAAATTTTGCTATATTTTCACTTTGAGACAATATTTATGGATAAAACTTACAGGAATTCTTGTTGAATGTATAAACTATTGAATAAAATTATTTTGGTTGCTAGAAATTATAATAAAATTCATAAATTACCCTTTATAGCATAAGTAGTAGTATATACTTCACTTTTAGTGCCAAAATTACTACTAATTTGAATTCTACACTTTTGTTTTTGGAGAAATTTATATGAAAATGTTTGGAAATATGTATATTTTTATGTTTTATGTGTTTCTATTCGTTACTCATACCAAAATATTAAAATATAAAAAAATAATAATAATAATATTTTATCTGTATGACATTTCGAACAATATTTCAAAAATATTTTTGTGTGAATTTGAAATAAATACAACGTCAAGTTATTTGAAATATGTAAGAAAACTATTTTTACTTACATTTTACACTAAAAATAAATGAAAATTGGAAAAATAACACATTTATGACCCAACCGCCAAAATGGGCGTTCCGTATTTCGAAGTACTTTTGGCAATTTACTTTTCACTTTTTATACCACAAATTATATATCTACGTGTTTACTATATTACAAGGAATATAAAAAAGTATAATACTTTCGTTTTTAGTCCAGATACAAATATAAAATTCTATAAAAAAAGACGGAGCACCTTCATCAAAGCGACACGTGGAACGCCGAAAGTTCAGAGTGATTTCTTTTTTTTTTTCTAAGAAACATTGCCAGGTTATGGTTTAAAATAAAAGAGCATATCTTTGTCTTTGATACTATTATCTATTGCATAGTGTCTTTGGTTTTGTTTTAATTAAAAAAAATCTTTTTCAAAGGGTAGTGCTTGTTGTACACATGTGTACCTCTATCGAGCGAGCGGAAGATGTTTATTTCTTGTACACATGTGTACCGTCGGCGACTTTACAGATGTTTTTCTGACATCATCGGGCAAGGAGTTCCAGAGCAGTGCAGCCTGAATTGTGAAGGATTTACCAACAAAATTAGTAAAATGTAGAGGGATACTTAGTTTATTATTATATGAGGAACGCAGAGTTCTATCATGCGTTAGGGAAATATATTGAAATTTCTCCTTGAGATAAGAAGGAGTGGATGGATCATTTAAGATAGAGAAGAGAACAAGCAAAATTCTAGAGTCACGCCTCTGTTTTTTTAGTGAGCCATTTTAGGCGAGAGCGATAACACACGTCTGCATAATCAATGATTGGTAGTATAAGTAACTGTGCAAGCATAATTTTAGTCTTAAAGGGGAGAAAATTTTTCAATCGATAAAGAGAACGTAAAGAACCAGAGACTTTACGACATGTTTCGGAGATATGAACCCCCCAGGACAGAGTACTATCAATATGGAGACCAAGATTTTTAACTGAGGGAGAGAACGGTATCAGACGATCATTATAATAGACGGGAGGTAGACTAGCGGCATTTATTTTAGCAAGCATCCTTGAGCTACCCACAATCACCTCTTGGAATTTCGTAGGGTTGACAGACACTTCAAAGCGCATAGACCAATCACAGACTGACTTGAGATTTGAATTCAATTTGTTAATCGCATAATGGATGTCAGAAATGTCAGACTGTACATAAATTTGTAGGTCATCAGCATACAGATGGTACGAACAATCAATATTAGATGTGATGGAATTAATAAAAATAGAGAAGATTAATGGAGAAAGTATACCGCCTTGCGGTACGCCAGAAATCAGGTTAACCCACTGTGAAGTCATTTGCTCCACGTGGACAGACTGTTGACGTCCGCGAAGATAAGATGAGAACCATTCCAGGACTGACGGTGCAAACCTATAATAAAAAAGAATAGCAAGAAGGATATCATGGTCAACCGTGTTAAAAGCATTAGAAAAGTCAACGAGCACCACAACTGTAACTTTCTTGTTTTCCATTCCTTCTCTAATATCTTCAGTTATTTTAAGTAAGGCAGTTGTAGTGCTGTGACCAGGACGAAACCCGGACTGAAAAGTACTCAGCAGGTTATGTTTATATATGAAATTGGAAATTTGCTTATGAACACAGGCTTCCAAAACTTTAGATAGGAAAGGTAAAACTGATATGGGACGGAAGTGATTGGGAAGTGTGGGATTGGATACTTTAGGAAGGGGTCTAACGAAAGCATTTTTCCACTGACTCGGAAACTAACCCGAGTCAAGCGAAAAATTAACAATATGTGTGATTGCGGAGATAATGTATTCTAGAATATTAACAATCATGGCTCTGCTAATATCATCGCAACCGACAGCCTTGGATTTTATCGACAAAAGGATCTTTCTGATTTCATCCTGATCTACAGGGTTAAAAAGAAAGACTGGTATGTGTGGAGACGGAATTGAGGCTATGTAAGCGACTGTTTGGGATCGGATTGAAAGATCCAACGCAGAAGCAGAAGCAAAATGAAGATTTAAAGCATCGTGAGAAAGCGATAAACTACAATCCAAAGAGGGTGTTTTGCCCACACCTAGAGAACTAAGAAATTTCCACACATCAGCTGGCGAAGAATTACTTATATTGCTATGGATAAATCGGCGTTTTGCAGAACGTACCATCTGATTGCATCTTTTTATGGCCTTCTTAAAAGACAACCGGTTTTCCTTGCCCTGCTCCTCTTGAACCGGGCAAATGCTCGATTTCACCTAGTCATGGCCTTCCGTACCTCTTCAGTCATCTAGGGATCTGGTGGCCGTCGTAGTTTCACTTTACGTACAGGAGCATGGTTATCATACAAAACATGAATTATGTTATTGAAAATAGTTACTTTATCATCTACTGTTGATGCAGTTGCTAATGGCTTAAAATCTATAAGCGATGCGTCTTTCAAAAGCTTATCCATATTAATTCTACTAAAATTACGTAGGAATAGTACAGTAGGTCGATATTAGGGAGGTTTAAGGTTGTACGATACATAAATAAGATCATGGCGGGAAAATCCCGGCGCTTCAAGTTGCCCATATGACAGCACACTGTCAGAGGAGTCAGTTATAATGAGATCAATCAGAGAGTCATAAGTGTCAATATTATGATGAGTTGCCTTTAAAGGAAGAATGTTGAGATTGACAGACTCAATGATTTGACGAAGCTTTTGAGACCGGACTGAATTTTTCAGTAAATCCGTGTTAAAATCTCCCATGATTATGCAGTGGGTGTACTCAGAACCAATGTTATCGAGAGCCTCTTCTAAATTGGCGAAGTAATCAGTGGAAGGAGGACAATACACTGCTCCAAGAATCATCCTTGAGCCCTAAACATCAAGTTCTATAAAAAGAAATTCTGCGGAAGCAGTGTAAGGAGAAGGGGATGCTAATATGATTTTGTAAGAAATAGTAGCGTGGAGATATATTGCAACTCCACCTCCTCCTTTATCTATACGATCATTCCTAATCAGCACAAACCCAGGAAGAGGATACAATGCCGAATTTAAAGACGGTTTCAACCAAGTTTCTGAAACTAAGATAGAATATATATTGTTGTTAGAGAACGATGCTTCTAGCTCAGAAAAGTGGCTGGGAATACTTTGTGCGTTAATATGGCAAACATTTAACGTTCTATCAAAAAAGTGAAAAATGCTATTCAATTGGCTACTTAAAGAGGGCACACTATAATTCGTCTGATCGTCAAAAGATTCAAAAGAACTCTCTGAGTCTCACTCTGACTAGGATAAAAAGAGTCAGAGTCAGACATGATAAGTTAAAAGCATAATATACCCAATATAAAATTAAATAAAATAAAAATACGATATTAAATAAAAATATTTATCAATAATATATATAACAAATACAATAATACTACCAAGAGATAAAAATAAAACAATGACTTAAATAGTAATAAATCATAAAACATCATCCCACCAGTTAACTGTTTACATAATATAATCAGTACTAAATAACAAAAAAAAAACAATTGTACTGAACTATCAATTAAAAAAGAAACAAAAACATAAGATAAGTAATTAAATAGCGAGCCAACACAGTGACTCAATTATAAACAAAAATAACATAAATATTTATAAAAGTAACATAAATATTTAAATAAGACGACTATATATTTTAATAGCAGGGCACTACAGAATTAATCGAAAAATTAGCAATAAAAATCAGCTTAATCTCAAGATTTTGAAAGCCAATTAGTTAAAAACATCCAGAAAATTTAAATCTAATAAGAGTACATAATTCAGCTGTGTGGCAAAAGGATCTGTGCCCATGTTACCATTACTGTGTTGACAGTAAAAGTTATTATCTATGGTCAACAGTCTTTGCCTTGCCTTTGCAACTGTCTATTAGCTTGCTACATATTTATTTATCTATGCTGTCTATGCCTAACTCTAGCATCTACGGACTACAATAACATTTGTCTATGATATTTGGTTACATTTTAACACTTTACGTGATAAAAATTATAAACACAAACTAATTTACTAAAGTTTACAAATATAATTAAAGTTGCTACAGTATAAAAATAAAATAATAAAATTAGCGGTTAATATTTCCAATATGGA